CTCAGGTAAATATCAGGATTCTATAGGACAAATTCATGTAGGATTCCAATAATATTTGACACGGATTCCTATTGGACAAATTTAATAGGATTCCTATAATATTTGACACAAAATCTTATAGGATTCCTATAGGACAGAATCCTATAGGATTCCTATAGGACAAAATCCAATAGGATTCCTATAATATTTTGACACAAAATCCTATAGGATTCCTAAAGGACAAAATCCTATAGGATTCCTATAGGACAAAATTCAATAGGATTCCTATAATATTTTGACACAAAATCCTATAGGATTCCTATAGGAAAACATGTGTCAAAATATTATAGGAATCCTACAGGAATTTGTTCTATAGGATTCCTATAGGAAACTTTTGTAAGGGTCGGCAAACTGCACTGCGCTGTAATCTGCCATCGTTACAAATATAATCAAAGAAAGCTTAGAAAGAACTCTCATGTGCTGAGAGTATTGGAGACACATTAAATATAATTCAAAATTACTTGTACTTGATTGAGATTGTGATGGAAAAGCTGAAAACTAATAATGCAAATCAGAAAATTCATATTCATATCAGAAAATTCATTCATCAGTGTGATAGCTTAAAAGTGGTTAATTGTGCAAATTAGTAATTAATATGTACAGATTTTACCCCCATAATTATCCAGGTCTGTCTATTGTTCTACAGCATCCATGTACAAAGTTTCATCGAAATGTGATGATCATTACTTGAGATATCTGTGGAAAAGCTGAAAATTAACTAATTATGCAAATTAGGTGATTAATATGCACAAATATTTATCCCAAAACAATCAATCTCTGCATTGTCCTTGAGTATCTATGTACCAAGTTTCATTGAAAGGTAATGCTTACTACTTGAAACATCCAAAGCTGAAAATTTATTAATTATGCAAATTAGGTAATTAATATTATAATATTAACCTCTAAAAACTATCAGGTCTGTGCAGTGTCCTATGACATCTATGTATCAAGTTTCATTGAAATGTGATGATTAGTACTTGAGATATGAGTGGAAAAACCGAAAATTGACTAATCATTATGCAAAATAGGTAATTAATATGCACAGTTATTCACCCTAAAACTAATCAGGTCTCTGGATAGTCCTAAAGGATCTATGTACCAAGTTTCATTGAAATGTGATGATTAGTACTTGAGATATCTGTGGAAAAGCTGAAAATTAACTAATTATGCAAATTAGGTGATTAATATGCACAAATATTTATTCCAAAACAATCAATCTCTGCATAGTCCTTGAGTATCTATGTACTAACTTGAAGTTTCATTGAAATGTAATGCTTACTACTTAGAACATCAAATGCTGAAAATTAATTAATTATGCAAATTAGGTAATTAATATTATAATATTACCCTAAAAACTATCACGTCTGTGCAGTGTCCTATGACATTTATGTACCAAGTTCCATTGAAATGTGATGATTAGTACTTGAGATATCAGTGCTTCGCACATGGGAGTCAAAAACCTGGGCGTTATTTTAAACAACTTGTAGGCGTTTTCTATTTTCCACCAACACAGCAGCGATCAACAATATAAATCAGCCTTTTGTTCTACATATTACTGTGAATTCTCAGTCAACTGTTTTTGTGGCATTGCGTACTCTCAATTGTAATTGTTTTTTGCCATTGCAAACTCGCAATGCCTGTTTTTCCGTACATTTACATACCTCCAGTTTGTGACAAACAGGAAATTGAGAACAAAAAACATTTTCTTCTCAATTGTAATCTATACAAGGAGGAACGAGAAATCATGATTAAGAATATTAAATACAATAAAAGCAATGTGGGGACGGATAATGAACACCTTACAGATATACTAAAAAGTAAAAATGACAAAACAATCATTGAACTAGGAAAATTCTGTTTCAAGTTACGACAAAAAAAAAATCATAAAATGGCAGATGCCTCAACCAACCACCAAATATTTTTTTTTTCTTTGTCTGTGATTGTCTTGTGTTTTTTTGTTTGCTATTTGTTTGTGTTACTTTATTGTATTTTAAATTAAGATACCACTCTGGGAAACGATTTCAATAAAGATTATTATTATAATTATTATTATTACAATGCACATACCATCTCTACCCATTTGTCGTTGTCATTACCATTGTCTGCTTCATTTTCACTATCGGTGTCGCATACAAGGGCTACAATAGAGCCTGGCGTGTCACTAGTAAAGCCAATAAAGCATTCCTCTACTATGACATGCTTCCTAAATGAATTAATATGTACAAATATGTAAGTATTAAAGGGAGTATTTGCTAGTGATGGAAACACAATATTGGATACAATTATAAATGTAAACATATTCCCTGTTTGTACTATAGTCATGAAATATTGCATGTATACCAGAATGATACGTGTTTTGGATTTAAATGGTTACAATTCATCCATCTTGAATTGCATCATCAAGCAAATGCATTTGTATATGTTTATGGGTGAAGTTTGAATCTGATCGGCCCAAACATGTGTGAGATATAGCTGGATACGGATGGATGCATGCATAGAGGTCAATCTACACGTCCTCGTAATAATGGAAAGATGAATCTAATTTTTTTGATCAGTACATTTAAAGCGTTCAACACAACGAAATGATCATTTTAGTAATGACATGCAGCCTCCTGGCTGAGATAGCTCCGCTGTTAGCAATGCACATTTGAATTAAAGGATTGAAAATAGTGTATCATTAGAAAATGAACAAATCTGAGAGAGATCCACCTGTAGTACCAATATATATAATATCAAATCAATCACAGTTCATCAAAAACGACAAAAATATTTATCAAAATTAAATAATTGAATATATCATCATGAAATGAACAAATCTGAGAGAGATCTACCCAAGGCACATATACACCAAGTATCAAAGCAATCAGGCTTGTAGTTTTCAAGAAAAAGTCGAAAAAGTAAAAAGTTGACGTTGACGACAACGACGAGCAATCATTCATATGATAAACCCCACTTGACAAAGTTGACAGCGCAGTTAAAATTTTAAACAGTGTCAAATGTTCTGTCTATAAATTGATTACATAAACCTGATTTCAAAATAACAACTTACTATGTAGTGTATTAAACAACTTATGGAAACAATTCAGTCAGTTTTGTCTTTCTGAACGACTCAAAGTAGGTATCTCATTAATATACCATTTTTAATCAATAAAAATTGCTCATTTGCTTCATCTCTATATTGTGATTACCAGTGATGTCACCAGAATTACATGACTTACCTTTTACATTCGATATAATTTCTGGATATTTTTGTGAAGTTCTGAACCCAAGCATCAAGCTTATCTACAACTTGTAATTGAAGTCTTGTCAGCATTGTCGCTGTTGATAGATAATGCTTTTCAAGGCGATTAATCAGTGGAATTGGGAAACGATCAAACACAACTTTCTTATCAGCAACGACTATCAATCTGTGCAAAAAACAGATGTACTTTTTTTAGGTTAGTTTGATTTGAACATCAATGCTACAAAAAAACATATGCTTTATCGAACACTAAAACGAGTATGTGTAGTCATCGTCAAAATATATATATGTTCACACTGTGTTTTATGTTTAATACTATCACATCACTAGCACACATGACCATGCACCACAATGACCTGAGTCAAGCCTGAATCATCTCTTGCCATGGTGTGCGTTGCCATGGTGCCCGCTTGTGGAATAACTGTATGGCAGGTACAGCTCGGGCTATGCCTTTCATCTCATGTTACTCAAAGAAACAAGTTCCATCATGAGGTCTGTTTGTGTTATTTACTTCCCCCCACACTTTACCCAATATCTTGCGTCTGTGTCTTTACTTACCAATAATCCAAACATAAAAAATAATCTAATGTGTGTCGTCAAACTGTAATTTAGACATGTATGTGTGTTGTACACATATGCATAAGTGCATTACTAAGATGCAAGGGATATTCTGGTGATGAAAATGGAATACTCTTCTACATATAACAAGTTTTTTAAATGTCTTTACATTGCTGGCAAAATCATCATATTTTACAACGCTGTAATTCACTTCTGCACTGTGTTAAACAAAATGCTGCCGTTGATATTTTTATATTCCTAAAGAATTGTGTCAGTACAGCACATCGATCATTCTGATTGGATTATACAACTTGACCTGTCAGGTCAGAGGATATTTTAAAAAATATACGCCAATAATAGAGAAAATGAAAATGTCATCACAAAATTAACAAAACTGATAAAGGTAACCCAATGCATATGTTCTTCCAAGTCAAAAATAATTTTTTTTTACCAAAAATGATAAATAAATTTGCTTAAAATAAAGAATTAAAGATATCGTCACGAAATGAACAAATCTGACTGAGTCCACAAAAGGTATTAACATACCACAAGTATCAAAGCAATTGAACTGGTAGTTTTCAAGAAGAAGTCGTAAATAGCAATTTCTATGAAAAATGACAATAATATTTGCTAAAAATTGAAGTTATCATCTCTAAGTGATGAAATCTGACCGAGATCCACCCAAGGTACCTACATATCAAGTATCAAAGCAATCATACAGAAGTAAAAAATAAGATTGTTTACCAAAAATGACAAAAATAATCACTAAAAAATAGTCGCCAAAAGTCGGGAATTGAAATTGTTGTCACCTAATTACCTAAACTGATAACCAAATGCATGTGCACTGTACACACTGTAGTGTAATGTTATAGTAGAAGTAATTTATAGATTTTTTGTAGCTAATTTGCATAATGTTTGGCAGATCTCATGAAACGATTTTCATCTCCACTCATCAAGGCAGCTCCACAACAAAAATCAAGCCAAATGGTTGAACGTTTTTTGAAAAAGAAGTCGCGCACATCTAGACACCCACCCGGACTCTAGGTACAACTCAGTGATCTATACGGTTCGTTGAGCTAAAATAAAATCGCTGTGACAAAATTTGAACTGAATCAGGCCATATCTTACGGAGGAATTAGCACGAAAAAAGACAAAAATGGCTGCCAGTGGGCCATCTTGGACCGAATCTCGAAAAAAAGTAGAGTGCACCTATAACCCAATATGCATGATCATCATACAAAGTTTGATTGAAATCACCCTGTTCAGCTTTGCAAAACAGTTCCGGACACGTTTAAATATCAGAATTTCGCAAATTTGAGGGACAGAATGGCTGCCAGTCAGCCATATTTAATTGAATCATAACGAAAATTGGCTTGCATATGTAGATCATCATACATTGTATGTATGCCAAGTTTGAACGAGATCGGTCAAAGGGTGTCTGAGAAATGGCTTCGGACTGACACATGGACGCACAGACGAACGGAACCCAAATTAATAGTCCCCGTTTTCGGACTTCGTCCGAACAGGGACTAAAAATTGACATCAAAACAATATCCAACAATTTGTTTCAAAACAAAATGACATTAAGAGATCAGATTCCAAACTCAGAAGATACAGTCTTTTAAACGATGAAATCAATGTTTCTTGAATTAAGCAATAATCTTCTGGATTTGAATAGTACTGATAACACAAACACATTTGTTAACATCATGATGTGTTATTACATTTCTGAAACTCTAACTTGCTAAAAGCAGTAGCAGTTTATTTTTAACTTTTATTTAGTTTTGCTCTTATTTTTGTTTGAAGTATTGTTCTATTACTTTTATGCCTGAGAGGAAGTTAACATTGTTTTTTTTTTCATTACTGAGTACAAAAAATTATTATTATTATGTGGAGATATTTTGAAGTAGTTTATAAATACGCATTTATCATATACAATGTTGGAAAACAAATTATAATTATAATGGCTTAATGTATTTCATCAGCAGAACGTTTAAGTGTACAGTAACGTACATTCACTTAACATTCACTTGGTACAGTGACATCATAGTAAATTAATTCCATTAATTTAACCATTTAATAAACAAGCAGCCTGTCAGCTGAGATAGCTTCGCTGTTAGCAATGCACATTTCAATTAAAGAACTGAAGATATCATTAGAAAATGAACAATATGTATAGTATAAAAACAACAAAAATTCGAAAATATTCATCAGAATTTAATAATTGAAAATATCATCACGAAATGAACAAATCTGAGAGGTCTACATGTAATATCTATGTATATAATAAATCAAATCAATCAGAGTAGTGTTTTTCAACAAGTCGAAAATATCACTTTTAACCAAAAATATTCATAAAAATTAGAGAATTAAAGTTATCATCACGAAATGAACAAATCTGACAGAGTTCCACATGTAGTACCTATATATGTAATATCAAAGCTTGCGGGTTTCAACAAGAAGTCGAAAATGTCGCTTTTACCAAAAGTGACACAAGCATTCATCAAAATTAGAGAATTAAAGATATCATCACGGAATGAACAAATCTGAGAAAAGTCTACATGTAGTACCCGGTACCTTATATATATATATATATGATATCAAAGCAATCAATTTTGCGGTTTTTAACAAGAAGTCGAAAATATCACTTTTTACCAAAAAAGACAAAAATATTCATTAAAATTAGAGAATTGAAGATATCATCACGAAATCAACAAATATGAGAGAGGTCTACCTGTAGTACCTATATATACTATATCAAAGCATTCAGACTTGTGGTTTTCAAACAAGAAGTTGAAAATATAACTTTTTACCAAAAATGACAAAAATATTAGGCAAAATTAGAGAATTAAAGATATCATTACAAAATGAACAAATCTGAGAGAGGTCCACATGTAGTACCTATATATGTAATATCAAAGCAATTGCGCTTGCGGGTTTCAACAAGAAGTCGAAAATGTCGCTTTTACCAAAAGTGACAAAAGTATTCATCAAAATTAGAGAATTGAAGATATCACAGAATGAACAAATCTGAGAGAGGTCTACATGTAGTACCTTATATATATATATATATGATATCAAATCAATCAATTTTGCGGTTTTTAACAAGAAGTCGAAAATATCACTTTTTACCAAAAAGGACAAAAATATTCATTAAAATTAGAGAATTGAAGATATCATCACGAAATCAACAAATCTGAGAGAGGTCTACCTGTAGTACCTATATATACCGGTACTATATCAAAGCAATCAGACTTGTGGTTTTCAAACAAGAAGTTGAAAATATAACTTTTTACTAAAAATGACAAAAATATTCATCAAAATTAAAGATATCATCACAAAATGAACAAATCTGAGAGTTGCACATGTAGTACCTATATGTATAAACTTCCTTTTATCGTTCTTCAAAAATTATATGCATCCCTAAAGGATAGATTTCAACAACTATTCAATACTTTACTACAATACGCTGTTGACGGTGACAATGCGATAACGATGCCCCTCCCATTGTGTACATTTTCTCACTAGAACCAGTGCCATTTCAACAGTAGATCTAGTACCATTTTACCACAAGTTCATATAGCACCATTTCGTGCAAGTGCTACTCGCACTGGCCACCCACACTGTGTCCATTTTCAACACCTGTAGCAACTAATATTTTTACCACTCGCAAATGACTCATTTCACCCTCGCATATGCCTGTTTTTCCGGGTGTTTTTGCCACTCACAAATGATATATTTACCCTTCGCATAGGCCATTTTTACCACTCCCATAACGCACATTTTACTACTTGCAACTTGCATATGTTTTAGGTCATACATACCTCAAATATTCCAACGATCTCTATATTAGTTATTAATTTATAACTATTTGATTCAATTCTCTGGTAGAATTGTAGTCACCTAATGGAAGTTTATGTACATTGAGAAACTTCAAATGAGCCTACAAGTTGTCAATGAGAGTTAACACTATTAATATCACATTCACCATACCCTGCAAAATGTTACTTCTATATGAAATCTTTTTTAACATACCTGAATCCCTTGTGAACACGGCACTTCACTCTGTGGTTCCCTAAACCAAGGTCTACATATCTTTCCCCACCAAACTCTACATAATACTGATTCAGAGCATCATACAGACTTTCATATAAGTTATCCAAGTTCAATAAGACTACTGTACGTCCTGTTCCCATACACACTTTTATGCGATTGATAGTACGGCACACCTAAAATGTTACAAACAGGTATACTTATTTTAAGTGTGCAAACCTCCCCAGTGATTGCAAAGTTGGATTCCCTTGTTTCACCTGTTTGACCTGTGTTGAACTCTGGGCTAGGCAAGGCTATTGTCTTCAGTTCTGCATGTGGTTCTGAAGAGTGAAGATGCGTCTCTGTGTGCCTGCTCTGAAATGTCCTGCCATGTTGAGCTTTCTGTAAATTTTGATAGGTTTGCTAACACTTGTACACTAGTCTGGGAAGGTGCCACTAAACGAGGTAAGGAAGGTCAAATCATTGTTGGCTTTATCAGCATGAAATTATTGGCAGTAATTCCTTACAAGTTTGAGTACTCGAATGAACTCCGATTTTATCACTCTTACATTTGGTTATTATTGCAAGACTGTAAATGTTAGTATTCATTAAGACTTATTTCTTGAAAGTTGTTTTGTAATTTGCCACCCATTTTTTGTGCCCATGCAAACACATTGCGTGCATGTGGTTAACTATACGTTCAATAGAGCACATGGTATGCAATGTGTGTTTTGGCTTGTCAAAATGGTTGACAAATGTTTCAGTTTACATTGTTATTTATCGTTACACATTTTATTTGCCATGTATTTATTGGTTGTATCGCTCGACATTTTGCTTATATTAAGAGAAATTTATATTTAAATTTACTGTACATTTTATGATAAGAATTGTTTGATTTACTTTGATTTATTTAGTTTTGTATATTTTAGAACCATATTCTGGAGTTTTACTACCCTATTCTGATTCCGTAACAAAACGTATTATACTTGTTGGAGTGAACATTCCGATTGACCATTTGGAATAAATGTATCGTATAACCAGAGTACGCGTTTCTGGTTAGTGGTTTAAGAGAGACTGTAATACCTGTGGGAGCTTGTGATACCTTATTTATGATACAGCATACATTATAAATAATCATGGTTTCAAAAAGATATTTGAAATGCCTTACTTGCGTATACACTTGATCGCTAGGAAAACTGCTGCCAAACATTATCACAGTGTCTTCCATAGACAACAATTTCTGCTGCAAAATGCCAAGAGCAGCAAACCCCTCTGTCAGCACCAATAAATAGCGATGGTCACTGTGGACGAAATAAGACATACCGGTAATCCAACTATCTGAAGCACAGGTACACTCAAAAAATAGTTATGAATTCAATTAGTTACACACACAACATATTCATTGTACTGTAATATATACAAATCTGACTACGATCCTAATCACAGTTTTTGAACTGTATGATGCAATTAAAAGAAAGCAGATAATATCAAGACAAACCCTGTAATATATTACCGGTATTAAATGTTTGATAGTGTAGAATTAACAACATGGCCTAATAAATTATGAGAAATTTACTAACGGTATTTCAAATTACACCTTCATGCAAATAACACTTGACAAAAATTCAGTTACTTTGAAAATAATTAAATTGAATAATACCTGTCCATTTTGAGCATCTTCATTGGTAAACCGTGGAGGCTGGCACAAATTAATCCTGAAGGGTGTACCTCGGGATCATTTTTGAACTACAAAAACATGTCATGCATATTAATCAAGGTAAATTATGACTTAAAATAAGAACAAGCCGGTAGGTGGATTGGCGATTTTTATTCCAACTTCTTAGTGCAGGTATGACCAGCCACAGTTTGAACAGACACACAGACAAGAGACTTCTTTAGAGGATATTATTAACACCACTGTTTTAACCATTAAAGTAGAGCATAGATAACGATTTAGACTGGAACTGAATGAGTGTCTTGCGTGTGTCAAACCAGTAAAAGCATTGGCATAGGTTTAGGTACACACTCAAGCAAATGAGATATGTCCAATATTTTGACTCCAAGATTTGTACGAGGATACATTTTGCACAAAGCTACAACCAAATATCGGCAGTTGTTATGACAACAATAGAACAGAACTATTTTTTTTTTCAAATTTTTACACCTTTCTAGAGTGCAGGTGTGACCTGTCAAGTTTGACCAATATTAGCCCAGTCTCCCCAAAAATCACAGAAAAGTGAAAAAGCTGTTTCTGGTGAAAAGTTACCCTAATTTCATGGAAAAATTTCACAAAAACATCAAACAAGCATCCTCTTGACTGAGATAGCTCCGCTGTTTGCAATGCACATTTCAATTAAAGAACTGAAGATATCATTAGAAAATGAACAAGTCATGAATGACACTGACTGTATTCCAAGGACGTTGTCAACTTTCAAACTGTCCCAGTAATAAACCTCTAATATTTTAGACAGTTCCATGGCAATGATACTGTTTGTCATATAAGTACTAGCACCAGATGAGAAACTGCAATGATCCTTGGTGTACAGTACCTGTGACAACAACTTTAATTTCTGGTTCTTTACATATAGATCTAGTTTGTGGTCCAGGATTAGTTTCAATATTTCCACTAAAGGACAAGAGTACTTCTCATATGACAATGATACAAACAAGCAACCTGACGGTCAAAATAGCTCCGCTGTCTTCATTATCATGGAACAAGAATCAGTAAAGTGGCATGAAAATTTGTCGAAAATAACATTTTTTACCAAAAATAACAAAAATATTCACGAAAAATCCAAATTTGCATATTTTGACACCAATTTAACAAATCTGACAGCGAACAATCCCAAGTACCATTGCTGCAAATATCAAAGCATTTGAACTTACGGTTTCGGACTAGTTGTCGAAAATAAAAAAAATTACCAAAAATATTCACTAAAAATCCAAATTTGCATGTTTTGACACAAATTTAACAAATCTGACAGAGGACCACCCCAAGTACCATTGCTGCAAATATCAAAGCATTTGGACTTACGGTTTCAGACTAGTTGTCAAAAATAACATTTTTTACCAAAAATTACAAAAATATTCACTAAATATCCAAATTTGCATATTTTGACACAAATTTAACAAATCTGAAATTGGACCACCCCACGTATTATTGCTGGAAATATGAAAGCATTTGGGCTTATGGTTTCGGACTAGTTGTCGAAAATAACATTTTTTACCAAAAATATTCACTAAAAATCCAAATTTGCATATTTTGACACGAATTTAACAAATCTGAAATTGGACCACCCCATGTATTATTGCAGGAAATATGAAAGCATTTGGGCTTATGGTTTCGAATTAGTTGTCGAAAATAACATTTTTTACCAAGAATATTCGTTAAAAATCCAAATTTGCATATTTTGACACGAATTTAACAAATCGGACAAAGGACCACCCCAAGTATCTTTGGTACAATATGAATGTAATTGGTCAAGTACTTTTGAAGAAAAAGTCGTTTAAAGGAAAAATTCACGCGGGATGCGGGACACAAGCGCCGGAGATACCCCCATACCAACAGCTCCGCTGGGTCATCTGCGATGACAGCGGAGCTAATAAAGTGGAAGAATCCAGAAAATTGCCAAGTTTTTATTATCATACATTAATATTAACAAATCATGTGAAATTGAACTTATTTATGGAGAACCGCATATTTATGCTTTGGTTGACAGGACTCAACGGAAAAAAAAGAGGACCTGCAAAACTTCATACAATTGTCAGACAAGCAGTGAATAGTATGCTTTTGTAATATATACAAGTCCTGCTATTAGATTTCTGTATTAAGATAGCGGGACTATTATTTGCATACTCGTTTTCATATTCTAATTGGGACCAAACGACTACAAATAGATCCAGGAAAGTATATATTTTTAGAATCGCCAGACTTCAAGCTTTACAAAGGTGTGTTTGCCATGCCCGTATCTGCATTCTATGACACGTTACTTAATCAAAGGTGAAAAATTACTTTTTCTGTAAAAAAAATAATTACGCATTTATGCTGGCGATAAGAAGTATTTTTTTCACTTTTCCTACTTGTTCAATAGTCAGGTAAATTGAATGTGTCTGGTCAGTTTTATGCAAGCAACGCGTTTTAAAAAATAGTGTGCTGAATTTCAATTACTGTTTTAGTTGCATTGCCCCCAACTCAAACCACAACTCGTTGGTAAATAATCCATGAAATAGTTTGTCTGGACACATTCAAGTTCCTCTCACTGTCACCTTAAAGCTGTGAAAATTTGGTGTTAATCCGACGACAATAGGTATACGTTATTTTTTGTTAAAGACCTTGTATTTTGAAAAACATAAACTCCTAGAAAACGTCCATGAAGTAACAGCAAAGATTTTCAAGCTTGTTTATCGGTACAATCAATTTGTTTTCCCATCAAGGTCTGCTTTAACATGTGTAGGAACATGAAATGTGTAAGGCTATTGGAAACCAAAAATATTAAAGGAATGGGATAGCTATAATTGGATAAATTCGTCATATGAAAACACCAAAAACAATGATTTATTTTCAGTGGCTGTGTGACTAATCTGTGAAACAAACTGGGGCGGAGACAAACCACTCAAATGTTTGGAAACACTCATTGTGTGTCAGATAGCTACTGATAACACATCCTAACATTGCTTTGTCTTGAGTTTATCTTTGAAACTTATAGGCACACAGATTAAACCTGTGTTGTTGATTTTGGAAAACACTACTGAGGCTGCCTTGCTTCCCTTCAGAAAATCTACATTTTAACCAACTTACATGACATTCTATGTTATGTTGACTTTATCACATGAAAGTTTATAGTGCATTTCATCAATTAATAAATAAATGTGAAAATCGTAATTTTCAACACAAATAATAGTCTCGCTACCTTAAATGGTAAAGACTCAATATTTAGTTGACTTCGTTTAGTATATAGAACTTAACAGAAATGTGAAACAAAGTAAAATTTTGCACACAACAATCAATCAAATATAAACAATATACATTTGTACACATGATAGTATTTGAAATATCAAAAGCTGAAAATTGATTAAAGGGGGACAAAACTTATGTTATGTTATATTCATGCTCTCCAATGCCTCCGGATAAAATAGGTCTTATGTATCTCTTATTGCTTCATAACACGGGTTTGAAAATGGGTTATTTAGTTGGTGGCAAGCCGCTGCTCTCAATGGTGAGATCTGGCCATAGAGGGCTAAACTGTGACGTCATTTCTGAACTGTCGCGGTATCACACTATACGCTGACAGTCCCGGGACAGTACAAATGTAGCTGCTCTCCACAAGGCACTTGTTTCGATAGAAAACTCCAGCGTTAGCAAATATGAAAATTAAAATAAAACAGAATTTGACATAACAGTTATAAAGCCATGCCAGTTTAAGCTAACGTACTGTGCAGGCGATGGCAGAGAGAATGTTTGACGGAAAGTGAAAGTTCTGGTGACGAATCTGAAGCCAGTGTTGGGGTCTGAATCGTGTCATGACCACATTTCGTATCATGGCCGTTATCAATCACGATTATCATTCGGTACATGTTGCTTCCATTCTGGGTAGACCAGTCCATTTTCAAACAATAATTACCTGAATGAGTGAACCTCTACAGTAACTTAATTGCATCGTCGTCTAATTATTATTCTGTCGACCTAAGAATGGACGCCATGAGAAATAATCAAAGGGCGCCATTTAAAGCGATACAGGTGGTCTTACTTTTTTAAATTTATTTTCATTTCAATAAAACCATTAAAGAATCATTATGAAAGTGATAGGCTTTTGTATCCCTTTAATTATGCAAATTGGGTAATTAATATTTCACATATGTATCTATGTAAGTTAATTTTATTATTACCAAAACCAAAAAATGACTGATCATTATGCACTAGGTTAATTATATGCATGGATTTTTACCCAAACTAATCAAATCTGTGCATTAGCCCAGAGCATCTATGTACCAACATACGGTTCTTGAGATATCAGTGAAATGGACAGACACAGCCCCATACAGACAGACTAACCGCAAAGACTCCCATTGTGTGCTGCGCACACGGAAGTAAAAAATTAATACATTTCAAGCGAAAGAGTCGTCACCTGCGCATGCGTGGTAGTGATCGTGTAGTACGTGCATGTCAAATTTCATTTGAACTGGATTGCAGTGTTCTTCCAAGAAAATTGCCAAAATATATTAATATTGTTAATTATATAAAACTCTTATCTGGAGTTTTGAAAAAAATATTACAACTATGAAAACATCATCATTAAAATTGTGGATTATGTGAATTTGACCCCTCCCTAATCTTTTGTTTTACTGCTCCCTTAATAGCTTCGCGCATGTGCTGGTAATTTGCTTACAAGTTACCGCATGGCGGTGTCTGACAAGTATGGCGATGTCTTACAAGTATGGCGGTGTCTGATAAGCGTGGCAGCATCTCAGAGTTTATATTCTGGGGAGAACACTGCTTAAAGCCTCTTAAATCACGAGGTAAACTTCCAATTTTCAGTTCTTACAATAATGGAAACGTTATTCCCAAGCCTCCTAAATGACGAGATAAACTTTCGATTTACACGTTTCATAACCAGTTCTTACAATAATAGCAGGACTGTTTTTCTGGCAAAGTGTGACACTGTGCAATCGCTAGTTTCTCACCAAAGTCAGGACACAAAAGGATAAATCAAAGTTCATAATAAATACCATAAGCACAGTTTCTTACCTTTGAAAATTTAATCTATATAAGCCTTGTGCAAAGAACGATACAGTTCCGGAATACAATATCCTCAGACGAAAGCGACGCCGATTTCCTCAGCGGTTAGACTGGCGCATGCGCAAACAATACGGTAATGCCAGTTCGTTTGCGAGATGTCGTTGAAACTCAGATTTTTTCCGGCAAATTTCGGCATTTTTTACTAGTAAAATGTTGAAACTCAAAGAAAAAACACAGTGAAACTTTGACGAATCAAAAACATACTTTGCGTGCATACATGTATGTATGGCATTGAGAATTACATATGCATCAACTTGGAAAAACATTGGACAGAGCATATCAAAGTTAAGAGAGGTAAAAGACAGACAAACGGACGGACGGAAGGACGCACGCACGCACGCACAGAAGGACGGATAAGGAAGGATAATATCAAAGCAATCGGTCTAAAAAATTTTAACAAGAAGTCGAAAATATCACTTTTTACCAAAAATGACAAAAATATTCACCAAAATTGAGAATTGAAGATATCATGAAATGAACTAATCTAAGTGAGCTCAAAATATAGTCTTTGAATACAATGATGCACATACCCCATACTTTGTTTCATATGCATGTTTCATAAGATCTCCAAAGTGTTGTAATGGATTAGTGTTGTCCATTCCTCCAAAATTACGTCTAATTGAGTGTTCAAGTTGATGCCAAGTTGGGCGCTGACCAGTAGCATTGGAAAATCCATACACCATTTTCACTAAGCTACAATAAAACACAATTGTTATTGTAGCCTGGTTGTGAACATACTAAAATATAACTGAACTGTTAATTACTAATTACACAAAAATATTGAACAAGTGTGTATGTATATGTGGGCAGTAAAGTGACAAGAAAACTGCAATACAAATAATAGTGAGATATGGTAAGAACATTACTTATTGTCATACCCGAAATACAGTCTCAGACCACGATTGGTTTCAACACACAAATCACAATACGGCATCCATTCACGTCATATGGGACCTCTATTCTGCATCACGTAATTAAACATCGGTTTTCACATGCTCACTCTACTTATCTAATTGACTTTCTTAGCCATATAAATTCACAGCATTGTAAGAGCGGACAATATGTTTATTGGGCTGTCGGCTGCCCACACGACATGGTTCCTAGCTGCTATAGAAAAAATGTGGTGCATGCATAAGACAGGATACCACAATATGCATGCATACAAATTGTGTAATTAAGACTTTTATATAGTTTCTGGTTATAACTATTTTGTGTTTTGTGTATTTGTTTGGTCTAAAACAGTGCGTTTGCTGTGTACCCACACATTTTCTATAACAAAATCGATGGTGGTGTATGAGTGTATGATGTATAATTATACGTCCACTTGCCATGGGTCCAGGGCTATAATCACAATAGAATACGACCACTTGTGGAATGGTTTTTGAATATGGTTTAACTGCGATAACATATCAGTCGTCCAAATATGGAAAAAATCATGTCCACGGATTATGCAACTTGTCTGACTGCTGTTCTTCACTGCAGCATCTAATAACTTTCATGTTATCAGGGTTTAATAACGATATTGCTGATTCTCTCTCCCGCCAATAGATATTGCGATTTCAACGACTGGCACCTCAGGCAGACAGGGTCCCAACCAAAACTCCGGACCTGTGCACACTCTTAACGGCTTTGATGTGTGACGTAGTCCCGTCAACCTCACACAACAAGCCTGCCACTACATCAACCTGAGCATTGCACCAGGTACATGACGAACATATCATGCGGATCAAACTCGCTCTTCTCTTTTGTCGCATGTATGGAATGAATCCTTATTCACTAATGCAACGCTCAACAATTCTTGCATCATGCATCGTCGTCACTTACCTATGGTACGCTAAAAGTTCACCTCGCAGCTATCATCCGTGCACACATTGAAGCTGGCTTCACCTCATCAATACGTGACGACCTGCTGCTTCATTTCACTATGCAAGGCATTAAAAGACATCACAGCGTGCCAAATCATGTAAAACTCCCAATCACCATTGTATTAATTCTTAATTCTTGCCATCTCGAACCATCCCACTATTTGTAACCATGACAAAGCTATGTTGTGGTCTTGTTGTCATGCTCAAGGTTTACAAGATAGACCCATTCATTGCACCCTCGCAGTCATCGGTCTGTGCTGTGCAGGCATACAGAGCATTACATAGCTCTGCTGCTCACCTACATGCATTCAAGTTCGCCAACAGTACTTTCCTCACACGGCAAGCTGTTAGCAACCACATTCAAGACCTTCTCACTCGTGAATCAGTGCCAGATGTTAACCGTTAACTGTATCTTCATCATTAGTTTTGAGATTTCATTTCATTTTTTTTACGCATATTTGCAGTGTATTTAGTTTGATATTCTATTAGTCTAACCATGTTTTTTTTTTTATCTTATCGCGATAGACTTTGTCAATTTTTTTAGTTCTTTAGCTTGTTTTTTTTTACACTATGTTCGTTATGTCTGCATTTGCAGTGCAAGTTTTCTCGATTTTGGGTCTAACATTTGATAAATTATCAGTTTGTTTCACTTCTGTAAAGCCCCATCTCCTGCAACGCATCACTTTGCCTTTAAATTTGGGGGTTTTCACTACAGACCAAGCATACTTTACACGGGTACCCACGCTGTCCATCCCTCTGGGGTTGTGAGTCTATCTGCTGGCTCCCACCGGGGGAACGCCAGCCATGTCGCCTGCCTGTACAGTCTTCTGCTGGTGGATGGTTGCGATCAGGTATCACTTCGTGCTCAGTGTCATGATGTAATTCACAGGCGAGTTGCATCATGGAGCTGTTCACTGCTGCGACGCCTGTGTCCGCAACTCGCTCCTCCTTCCACTTTTGCCAAAACCTTGTGTCTTGTGTCATTTATTGAAGCATTAAACTCTTAAAAACGTTTATTGACACAACACTGGCTTCAGAAAGTACAGCAGTAAAGTCACTAAAAAACTACAATTATAAATTTAAAGTTAAAAACTAAACTAGAGAAAAAAAAATAGCAGTATTAAAATTAATGATAAAAAAAAAGTGGGCCAGTCAAAAACAAGCTGAAGACAAGCCAGAGGACAGTCCTACAAGTACACCAGCAGCTGGCGATGCAAGACGAACAAGACAGATAATTGTTTGTATATAATAATATAACAATATTAAACCCTATTCAATAGGTAATACCCTATTGAATGGGGTTTAACAAAAAATGGAGATATATAGATATTCAAACAGATTACTCCAAAACTAATGAAGGGGTTGAACAAGGGTGTATACTAAGTCCTATATTATTCTCAATTTACATTTTAAATGAATTGGCCAAAATGTTATACTAAATCTAATCTGGGTGTAATGATTTGAACACAATTAATACCTTGTTTATTCTGGGCAAAAAACGCAGTTGAACTGCAAAATATATTTGATATTGCATCAACATTTGTAGAGCAATCTTTTATCAATCTAAACCCCAGATATTGTATTTTGAAAAGAAGCTAAATAAGAAAAAAACAAATTGGAAATTAGGAAATTTGACAAACATACAAATACTTAAGCATCATTGAAGGATCATTCACATTTTATGTAAATTTATAAACAAGCAGCCTGTCGGCTGAGATAGCTCCGCTGTTAGCAATGCACATTTCAATTAAAGAACAGAAGATATCATTGGAAAATGAACATTATGTATAGTATCAAAGCAATAACTTTTTACCAAAAATATTCACCAAAATTAGAGAATTGAAGATATCATAACGAAATGAAAAATTCTGAGAGAGGTTTACCTGAGGTACCTATATGTATA